GGTCGTCCAGGATTTATTTGGATACCTGGATTTTTGATTAACCATGATGGTCGGGTTATCCCGGAGGGTTCGACCATATATTGTGTCTTGGGCTTACCTTGATAAAGAGCTAAGGACTTGTAATGGGCGCCTAGGTCTTACATGACGCCTAGGTCTTTGGCCATAGTGAAGTCTTGATCCCTACGAGATCAGAATTAATTCATATTAAATAACCATTTCATCGGTTCTATATTTTACAATATCATGAAAAATATCATTTGCAGGCATTTGATGCTCCAAATGGGGTTGAACAACTTGTGATCTTGCTTTGGCTCCGCTTCAAAGGCAATTTTGTAGTGGATGAGGCTACCAATATAGAACCTCTTTCCGTTGGATTTTGCTTGCTTTCATAGTGAATGACTTGTTGATAAATGAAGATGAGTCGGAACTCCATTTGCCATCTCATCAGCCAAGGTTCCTTCTGAGTCTGAATCTTTAGTAAGGCCTTGAAGGCGGATGGTTAGCATGTCGGCTTTTGGTAAAAGGAACTATCTAGACGTCATGCATCAGGTGGACTGGCGTTTTCTAGGTTAGGTTCGTGAGGATTTGGGGCATGACCAGAAGCTACAGGATACCTTTTATGGTGGAAACGCTCTTGGTGAAAGAATCCACCAGTCGGTATTGTACTCCCTGAAAATGACAAACCGTGACAGTTTTCTTAAAGAGCTTTGGGAGCACAGGGAACTGGATCATGTTGTGAATGGAGAACTCTCCTTTATGGGGATCATGCAGGTCGCATGCTTTGACCATCAGAGCTTAGGCAATTTAGTGGAGAAGGCGTCAGTTAAAGGGCCAAGATCATTCTTCCTAAGAACAATCAGCTGACAGGCCCTAAGTTTTTCCCGTAATCTCACCCCTGGCATAAGGGAGTTTCCTTCAAGGAGTCCTCGTGATCCCAGGCACCTATTACAGACTTAATCACTGCTCCTATGCACAGATCAGCTATTGTCAGTTGGAGCTTAAGTGATTTTAGATTTGATCAGAACCCATATTGAGGTTAAGGTTATGTTTAGTGATCGAACTCTAGGCTTCTTGGCAATCCAGAAGGTGGAGTTCGTCTGCGATGGCAGTCAGGAGGCGTCATCATTTTTTCAAGCAAGACAACCTATTCTTATGGTGTGTCTTTTCGTGGAGGGCTTTTGGAGGGTGCTGTAGGTAGCTCTGCTGTTTTAACAGCTAGTGTACTTGGCAAATACTCCCCAGAAGGTTGTAGAGGCCTCCGAGGACTATGCATACGTTGGTTCCTCGTAGCCATAGACCAATCCTCCTTAGCTTGAATGATGCAACTCCTGACTTCATTTAGATTGGATGATGCAATTCCGATGTTGTTCTTCAGGGTGAGTAGAATCAGACCCTTAATTAGAACTCAGCATGTCTTCTCGAATAAGAAGAGTGGCCCCAAGGTGGGCACCAAACTGTTAATACTCGATATCAAACAGACTAATCCAGAAGAGGATGGTTACGTGGTGTTGAAGGATGATGGATGGTCCGCTCCCTTCTTAGACTTCATACCTAGTTCTTGAACGAAGGTTTGGTGTCCACACTACACAAGCAAGAAGAACCCGTGAGAGGGCGGGGATCTGTTCCCCCATGATTCCTCCGACTGTCAAGTTAGTTGGTGAACTTAAGCTCGAAAGCAGATTTAAAACTATGTGTTCTTATGCTATGTGCATCAGAGATGATCATCTCTCATGTTTAGATCAGGAGGAAGATTTAAATTGCTCCGAGAGTTTTTTTGTTAGGTTCGATTAGATTAGATCAGATTAGATTACCTCTCTCTGATCGTGAACAACCTCCATATATAGAGTGGATGTCCATGGTAGACTGGTTATTTCAACCATACAGAATAGCGGTGACAAAGTGTGAGCTAGAAGGTGAGTCATCCCTCACTCTATAGGTGTCGGCTGGCGACTGGAGGGGAAGTTATTTCAGCATGGGAGATTGTGTCTCCGCGATATCCGGGAAGTGACTTGTGAGTGTGGCAGAAGTCACATGGGCATACTGAGTTGTCCCTCACTTTATAGATGTTGGCTGGCGACTGGGAAGAGGAGTTGCTTTATTATGGGAGAGAGTGTCTCCGTATTTTCTGGAAAGTGATTTAATTGACAAGTCATGGAGATCTGTCAGGCCAAAATCTGGATAAGGCTTGTCCAAAGTGGACTAAGACGTCAACATTTGATCTGGGGGAGAGGCTTGAGGCCGGGGTCGAGTACTCAATTTAGTCGACAATAGGGAATGTCTCTTGAGTCATTTCTGAGAAATGCTCATTGAGTGGTCGAGTGCCCAAAATAGGGTCGTCCTCAAGGATAGGGTCGACTGATACTGCCTTTCGCATCAACTCAGGAATGTCGGCCTATCCGACTGGTTGGAATGTCGTCTCGTCTCAGCTAATAACCATCTCTCGAGTCGATATAAAGATGTTGACTCGTATGGGAGGTCAGGATCTCTCGTGCCGACCAATATCATCTTTGGTGTTGACACCAGAGAGTCGGCTTAATGAGTCGGTGGGGGCCGAGGCCTCTGCAATTGTGCCTTGGGTTTATCCCTGATAAAGTACCAAGGTCTTGAATTTCGACTGAGGAGTTGAATGCCTAGAACTCTTGAGAGTTGACTAGGGCTTTCCTTCCCCTAGGACCGAGAGATGATTGCGAGAGTCAGCCAAAGGGTTGTGCTTGCTTTGCTAAGGCTCTTATCGTGTCAGTTTGTACGTATTGTATATTGGGTGAGTGAACACCATAATAGACGGGTTTAAAAATAAAGCACCGCGAAAACTTTAGATTTAAAACCAAAAAAACAGGTTGTAGAAGTGTCACTTTGTATGTTAGAGTATGTTTGGTTGTTTTCCATCATTTTTCACAAACATGATTCCTTCTCTTTTTTGTGTTTCGCTCACTTTCACAGAAAAAAAAATTTTGTGTTTGTTTGGTCAAAAAACATAGGATATAAGTAATTTTCATAACTTTCCTTAGTTTAGTTCAACTTGAAAAAAGAAAAAACAATGATGTATGAATAGATTCCCTCATTTTCTAGTATTTGGTTCAAACTAGAAAAAAGAAGAAACCATGGTTGTGGTCATCATTGTGTGCTTACCAACATAAATTGACGGGTGAACATGTACATCATCACATAATAAAGATTTCAATGTCTAATTTGCAAAAATATTTAAAGATTTGAGGGAGTAATTTGTAAAAAATATTTAATGATTTGAAGTAGTAATTTGCAAAAATATTTAAAGATTTGAGGGACTAACTTTAAAATATGAACATTTGAGGAAGAAATTTCAACAGTTTTTGCTACCAAGATTACCTTTAGATGAACTTAATTGTTATAATGCAATCCACATGAACATCCCAGTGTAACACTAAAATGAGTTTTCTCTTTTACACATATCCTCTCTTCATTAAAAAAAAAATACAGCAGCATGAAAGAGCTCAGCTAGGGTTAGGGTTTCCCCAATCACTCAATCTCTCTCAAGTTCCATCTTTTTCTCCTTATTTTCACTCAATTCAATCTTTTATTAACCTCAATCCTTCCTTAAATCCCTCAAATAATCATCTTTTCAAGATTAAGATCCCAATTTCTCAAAATGGTCTAGATCTTCATCGCCGATGAACCCGCCTTTAAAAAATATTCATCGACGCCCGATCCACTGCCCTCGACATCAACTACGACGATTCCTCTCCTGCTTTGCCGCCCTCAAAGCCTCAACAACGCGGGAGAAATTGGAGGGGATGATTGTAACCCTAGCGTCCCTTTCTCTCTTTGTTGCAGCGAAAATCCAAAAAAGAGTGAGGCAATTTTGTTATTCTAGGTTAATTAGTTTTCTGCGAAAATCGGAGGTTTTAGAGAGGAAATCATGTTTCCGGTTTGGGTGATGTGGCTACGTGTTTTTCTCTACCCTTCTTTTTTTTCTTTTTGCGAAGCAAAACGGTGAAAAATGAAGAGTTTTTGATGGTTTTGAAGAATTTCTGACAGCTTGACGAGTTTCCTTCAGTTTCCTTCATTTTTTTAGCCAACCAAAGAGGCTCTTAGAGAGACACAAAATATAAGATGAAACATAAGTTTAATAAACGCATGTCGATCACATGAATAAAACGTCATCTTGTATCTTGAAAGTGTATCAATTTTCATACTTCTATCATGATTTTCAAACACTGACCCAATGATCCCATGCTAGAAGCACAGCTGTCTAGCAAGAGTGGTGGTTAACATGGACACATCTGGGACCCAAAAGTAAACTAACAAGGTCAAAAGGCAAAAGATTAAAGCTAGCTTCCGCCCCCCCCCCCCCCCCCCCCCCCCCCACATTTCATATGCACGGTGCCTTTAACTTGAGTAATCCTACTACAAATCAACGAGAAATAAATAAAATAAAATAAATCAAAGCAAACATAATCATCAACCACTCCCCAAAAAAGTAAGAAAATATCTAAAACCCCGCTCCTCCACCAACCTGTATTATATTAAATTAGATGGCCCAACCAACTTCATGAAAGAAATCAAAAATCAGAAATTAGAGGCAACACCAACCAGAAAGAATAGAAACCACCCTGTATCCACTCTGTACCCTGCAACTAGCTATTATGGCAAGGGCAGGATATGATTGAGGCGCATTAAGATTAAAAGAAGATGAACTTTACCTCAACTCGCAAAATAGCAAAATAAAATAAAATGACATGTGTTTATTCATATTTATATTAAACCCATAAACACCAAAGTTTGCTAAGATTTGTTGTTAATCATTCTAGTAATGATGTTAACATCATTAACGTAATTTGCAAATTTTCACTTTTTCACGTTCTTACTAGCAATTAAAGGAGTTTTTACCAGCCAAAACAACAGATTAAGAACCACATTGGTATTTACTGCATGTTATTTTAAAGGTGCAGAAAATGCGGGACACATCATCGCCTATCTAAGCTCTCAATCCACCATCATTCTCCTGCTTCCTTTTTCTTCTCTCTCCCTCTCTTTTTATTTGCTTCCCCTCTCCTCAACACCTTCATCAATCATTCCTTCCCATTCTCTCTCTCTCTCTCTCTCTCTCTCTCTCTCTCTCTGCCTTCAGCGATCTTCTCGTTCCCTCTCCTCTCCTGTCTGTCAAAGAACAGAGGAGAGAGAAAGAGAGAGAGAGAGGAGAGGAGAGGAGAGGAGCGAGTGAGCTTTAGAGAGGGAAAGCAATGGCGTTCGCAGGGACTCAACAGAAGTGCACGGTGTGCGAAAAAACGGTGTACTTGGTCGACAAGCTCACCGCTGACAAGCGAATCTTTCACAAGGCTTGCTTCAGATGCCACCATTGCAAGGGAACTCTCAAGGTGAATATTGTTGTGCATTTGTTGTTATTAATTACTGACGATACAACATCTTCTTCTTCTTCTTCCTCCTCCTCCTCCTTATATTTATTATTATTATTATTATTTTCCTCCATAAGTATGGTCTTATGATGTAAGGTAATGCAGAGAAATAACTAGGATTTGTTATGTCCTATAACCATTTCTAATTTTGGAGAAAACGTCATGGTTTTTATCAAATTGTAGGATGAATTTTTTTTTCCCCTTTTATATAAATTTTGCTTTTATTTTTATACCTTACAATGTTCAGGTGGTTTCTCTGTAAATTTGATATCTAACGTTCACATAATTTCTATTACAACATATTACTATTAATATCCCAACTGAGTCTAATCCAAATTTCAATAGATCCTAAACTCGCACCAGAAAACCTCAACTCAAATCTGATGAGTCACCTCTTGATGGAACCAGGTATAGATCTCTACGTAGATTCGGCATGTATGTAATGGATCCACAAGTGGATCTTGTAGAATCTGACCCGTGTCCGACCCCTCAACTACCGTAAAAGCTCAAAAAAAAGATTATTCATCATCATATAAGACCCCAGTCCTAGATCTCAGAAATATTGGACAATATCATGCACAAGATGAATGCCTGAAAAAGAGGTTCCATAGCTCACAACTCTGTGAGCGCATCAAAATATACACGTCATCCCTGTATAATAAATAGTAGGGAACAAGATAATGCCTGATGTTGCCTTCAAAATAATTTCTTGCTCTGAAAACCCAAAATTTTTCTAAAGATCTTTTTTGACCAATAGTTTGTCGCATGCAGCTGGGAAATTTCAACTCCTTTGAAGGGGTTCTTTACTGCAGACCTCACTTCGATCAACTCTTTAAGAGGACTGGCAGCTTAGACAAGAGCTTTGAAGGTGATTCCTTTTAGAACAACCTCTTCCTATTTTCAGCAACTCCACTGAGAACTGTGTATCCTTTGTTCTCCTCAGGTACTCCTAAAGTTGCCAAGCCAGAGAGGCCTGTTGACAATGAGGTGAAGTACTTTCTCTATGGAGATTATGTCAATTTGTAGCAAATTATGTTATTACATAAACCACTTATTGCTTGAAGTTTCTAATATCTATGCCGTATCCAGACGCTAAATCATACTATTACTCCTGCAGAATGTGTCAAGCAAGGTTGCGATCTCCTTTGCCGGGACCAGAGAGAAATGTTTTGGATGCCAGAAGACAGTGTATCCCATTGAAAGGGTAAGCAGACTCCCTCTAATCGCTATCGTTCTTGGCTAAATTGAACACACAAGATATAGGTAGAAACAAAGATAAACTCTGTTTTCATAGCCTTAGTTTCATTTCACTTAGCAAATGTTTTGGTTTAGTGCAGTAGGTATCAAATTATCGCACCGTATAATAGGTTGAGCTATTTCCTTGCATTGATAAAATTCATCATTGATTCTCACTGATTAAACATTTCGTAAATAATAATAATAATAATAACCCTTAAAATGTAGTCGCAATCATTTTGCTGGATATGCTATGAAGGGTGTACATGGCGTGTGATCGAAAACTTTGCGATAAGTCGGAAAAATATGAATGTGGAACTAACTTTGTTCATCCATATTCCCTCAGGGAAAGAAAGATAAGATTCATCATATTCATGCATTTAGACAGCAAGAAGCATGAGGGAAGCAACAAAAACAAGTAAAACGATGGTGAAGCAATTGAAATCTTTTGGCCTTGAGAGAATTGTACAAATGACATGATTCATGCGTATACGACTATAGATAATCAATGAGATTACGAATTATCTCTTCCAAAATAATAAAATTCAAGGCTGATTATGCATGCAAAACTTATGAATAATTAAAGTTCACCTTCAAACTGAAAAACATTTGCTCGTATAACTATGAAGTAAATACTGGAAAAGGAAGGTAGTACGTGAATTAACATCCAACACTATATTTATGCAATACGACCACCTATTCCTCAAAACAGTATAGACCTTGTGTTGACATAATCCAGTCATCACATTCACATGGATTTCCTTCATTAAAAAAGATTATGTTAATATGTGAATCTCTCTTTCAGGTCACAGTTAATGGAATTGCATACCACAAGACTTGCTTCAAGTGTTGTCATGGAGGATGTACCATTAGTCCTTCCAATTACATAGCACATGAGGGAAGGCTTTACTGCAAGCACCACCACATTCAACTCATCAAGGAGAAGGGAAACTTAAGCAAGCTCGAGTCGACTACTTCAGAAGTCACAGAGGCTTAAATCTTTTCTACATCAAGAAAATGCAGCTAGTTTTTCCTTGCTCCTCCACCATTTCTCCCTCTTTCTATCTCTCTTTTTGTTAATCGTCATTGTAAGAACTTGGATTGTGCTGAGGGTTTGATGGATGGATGGTTTAATTTTCTCACAATTGTGTTCTCTTCGTGCTGCTAAATGCTTGTGTGGGTTTGAACTTTGAACTATGGCTTTAGCATGTCAAACTTCTTATTGAGGTCATAAAAGCTTTTGCATCGGTTTCAATGTCTGTTATCTAATATTTCCTTTTCTTTTCCTTTATTTCATTCTTCCTTTTTAAATTTGAAAGTAGGAAAAACTCATCCTTTTCCATAAATGCTATCTCAGGGAAACAAGTTTGCATATAAAAAGATAACAACAGAACACAAACTCACAGAAACGCATCAAATCAAAGAAAATAGTGGTTCTCTCACAGCACATAAAGCATCAAATCAAAGAAAATAGAAAATCTATACAGGTGATAATAACAATGGAAGAACCTAGACTCAAGGAAAAATACACAAGTCCATTTCGCTAGCAACCAAACCTCCAACCCTCATAATAACATATTCGACTCCTGTTAAACCCAGCTAGAATAATAAACATCAAGCCCCTCGTCCCCAATTCAAAATTGTTCACACATCCAGATTCCTGATTAGGCCAACCACAAAGTTGAAGAAAACATCAGTACAATCCTCATGGTCCATATACCACATTCTTCCCATCTCATAAAAGATCCTAATCACGCTAGGGTTCGTCTTCCTAACTCATTTGATGTGTGCATCGAATAAAACTTTCCACTTTCCAGTAATCTTGTAACGCTAAGTTTGGTCTTCCTAACTCGTTTGGTGGTGCATCTAACAAGAGCTCCTCAGTTACGCCAAGTTTGGCCGTCCTAACTCATTTGATTCATCCAACCTCAACTCATTTGATTCATCCAACCCCACCAAAGTTACGCTGGGCCAACAGAAATTCGACCCTTCCTCCTTAAGTAAGACTTGGCATAAACTTGCACGGTAGCAAACCATGTTCTACATGATAGATGTCATATCTTAGAATTTATGAGTCAGTTCTCATCCTTTATAGCTGAACCAGGCATGTTGTTATAAAAACTGTTTAAACTGCAACAGACTAGCCATAATCGTGCTAGATCTCTGACAACAGAACAATCACTTCTTGTGAACAAAACAGGTGTTAAGTATCAATGCCCTGAATGAACCAAAAACGAACCACCTTCATCAGATTCAGCCACTCATCACAATAACAAACCCTTAGCATCATTCTATAGTCTAAGATAATGGACCAAGAGGCGGAGATCTCCTTGTTGCTGGATTGGCACTTAAAACACAACCAGATCCAAGGAAATAAATACAGGATTGAGGCGATATCACCAACTGTATGAATAATGAAATAAATTTTTCAATAAAAAGGACCAGACTAAATGCTCATGGAGGGCTAGTTGATAACCATTTGTACTCATATGATAAAAAGTGTTTGGTGAAAAGTCAACAAAAGATTCAACATCGTACCATAAAACTGTACATTTCACTGGTACAAAACGTTTTCAAACAGCAATTGGAATTATTCCCATATAATCAGCCTTGCCACAACAGTACTAGAGACTGAAGATAAAGAAAATCAACAACATTCACAGAAATGCAAATTCACAAAGAAAAAGCAAATATGCAATTATCTTATTCATGAGGAATCTTACAGACCCTAAAACCATACAACATTGGCCCAATATAAACATAAACAAGGTTTTCTACATGATATCTTACAAGTTGTTCTTCTTTTTTTTTTTCCTGAACAAATTATATCCTATAATCAATCATGGACTAGAACTACTAGTACAATACTCAATAGTGCCGAGAAGACACCCATTTAAAGCAATGTGCTTCAAATCAACAATAAAATTATTCCTAAGGAACCCAAACCCAAATGTGCCATTCTCGTACTCCCATATCCTGCCTTCCACATTCCGCGGATCACCAGAAGAGCCGGGCATATTTGGTAACACCAATTCATAACTCGAATTGATCGAGAGAATCCGAGAGACAACTCCATTCTCAATGTCATTATGACTAGGAGCAACATGTTGGCGGCTACTATAAAGGTTTTGTTCGTCCCTAGAAAATGGGGAGCTAAGAAATGAAGTGTTCGATGTCCAGAAGACAGGGGAATAGCCAGAGAAAGGCTCTCTTGAATCGCCAACCCGTCGGCAAGTTAAACCTCCAACATCATCATAAGTTACGAGATAGAAATCCAAGTACATGCTTTCACAAATCCCCTATTAGAGGAAATGTTGTTTCAGAAAAATGCATGATTCACTAAATATAAGATGAATATCATCAATAAGCTTCTTGTAGATGCATCAAAATCTGAAACCCATGATTTCTAGCTTTCTTTCCCCTGAAACATTTTAGTTGTTCCATTGCAAGAGACACTGAATCAACAAAGAAAGCATTCTGCCACATTTAAAATAGCTCATGAGAATAAATTCTGGGCTCAGGCATAAATATGGTTTTTCATTATTGAACCTAATGTCTTCATTGAAGGTATTATCTTAAACCATTGAAAGTATTATCTTAAACCATTGAAAGTCTTATTCTGTATAAAACTAAGCTATTAACACAGCTCTTACATTATACTTAAATCTCACCATCATTTTAACGTATTAACTATTAACAACTTATAGAAACATTCATGAATCTCAAGAATTATTGATTGAAAATTATCTTGCTATTGATTACCCTAAAATGTCTTCTTATTCTAGTCTTGCCTGTGCTTCTTTTCTAGATTCAATTACAATGCAACAACAGAATCTTTAGTAGTAGTAAGTATACCAAATTGTCGAAGTCCGCTACATGAACCTTTTTTTCCATTAGGACAAGCTTCTCCAATAAATTATTATCTAGTTAATCTCAATACTTCAAATATACCTCATATATTGTTGTTAGAATAGCAACCATTCCTAATCCTATTAAAAAGTTCAAAACTTTCTCACCTTGTAACGTCTCACCCTAAAGAATTCCTCTACATTTTCCTCCAAATTCCAAGCTTTTAACATTCAAACAAGCCATCAACACCAAAAGTCAACAGATATTACAATTTCATGGGAGGAAAAGAACCAATTTACCTTCCAAAGACCCTGCAAAGGCCGCGCCAGACTAGGGCAGCAATTCTCAATCTTGACAAAATGCTCGGCATCCCACCTCTTCCTCCCAAATTTCTTCCTCCTCTGCTTCCTCAGTCCCTTATCCCCACCCGGGCTCGTCCTGTTTGCAAAATACCGATAAATCTCAAACGTAACCTCGTCAGGCGGCGACCCAGAAACCCTAAGGTCCTCCTCCTCTCTCGAATCAAGACACAAACTCCCTCCCCCTCCGCCGCTCTCCTCCACGACAACGTGGTTCCCGCCCATGAAGCTCACGCTAACCGGCACAACCTCCGACTCCGAATCGCCCATTCCGGAACCCAATAAGAAACTCACAGCGCTCCCGCATTTAGAAATCCCAAGCCATAAAAACGGGCTTCTTTACGACGCCGTAGCTCCCGGGCTCGCTCGAGGGGGAAACCTCGACGCATTTATCGACGATGGGCCCATTCGAAGAGGACGAGCGGCGGCGCCTGGATGTTCTTGGAGTTCCCAATCTGGGCGCCAGAACCCGATGAGTGGGGCCCATCGATCTAGCGTTCGGTAGAGAGAGGGAAGTCGGAGGTCCAGCCGTGAATTAGGGTTTTTCGAGCCCCAGCGGCGGCGGCACATCGAGAGGTAGAGGAGGAGGAGGTTGGGGATTTGGGGCTGCAGAGGGCGGAGAAATGGCGGGAATGCAGGCGAAGGCGGAGATCCTCGATCGGGCTCGCTTCTCGTACGGGTGTGAAGCAACGAGAGGACGGCGAGCTGGACGTCGTCGGGGAAATCAGAGAAGGAGGCGGTGGACTCCATCGATTAGGGTTAGGGATTGCAAAAGATTGGGGGAGATTTGGGGGAAATTTTAAGCGGTGGGATTTGATAAAAATGCGATCACGGTTCAATGTTATGGGTGATAGATTCACGAACTTGTTTTTGAAATGAGGGTATATTTTGGGTGGATTAGAGAGAAAAAGAGGGTACAGATTGAGGATGGATCGAGACGGGGAGTGACTTTATCGATGTCGTTTTTTTCTAGCGTCTGCCGCGTGCGCGGAGAAATCTGGATGAACGGAGCACCCCTTGAATATTCGATTTCGTACAGGAAGAGTAAAATTATTTTTTAACAAATTATATTATGTAAAATTATAGTAGATCTAGTTATGATATGAAATCTTACGCTGAAGAAGCTATTCTATAATATGGGGGAAACACAAGTCTTTTCTATCCTCTATATTAATATTGTTTGTTGGTATAAGTTTCATTTCCTTTGTTATAAAATCATGTTCATAATGCACATGAGAAAATAATATATTCATTTATTTAATACAATTTTGTTTTAAGAAAAATAGAATATAAATATACATCTTAAGGCAAATAAAAGGTCATAAATAGTTGTAGTATTTTTCAGCTAATCCTTAAATTTAAGGTAATGCAATCTCAGAAAACTTTATTGTAATTTAAAGCTACCATGTGTTTGAACAAGTTCATTTAAAATTTATGTATTTTCAGTACTTTATAATGAAATTAATTAAAATGATTGTTCAGTGTAAACAAGCAAAAATTGTGCCCGGGCACCAAAATCAAGTTACCAATGTGACTAGGTCCAGCCTAGTTTTGAGCTTGTAACTAGGTCCTAAATAGGAAAAATGAATGTTGTTAGGCCCTCCACCTCACCTGTATACAACTTGTATACTGCATTTTCAAAAAGAAAAATTCTTTAAGGACCCAAAATATGGGACCAATAGGTGGGACAAGTGAGGTGTCCCCCTCCTATTGGATAATGAGTTGGCCATCATTAATGATGGCCAACTCATTATCCAATAGGAGGGGGACACCTCATTTGTCCCCTTTATTGGTCCCATATTTTGGGTCCTTGTAGCAAAGCTCTTTCAAAAAAGTCCCCACACGAACCCTCCTATCTCGAACCAGTTGAATCTCCACCCCCACTTATCGCGCCGTCGTGTATACTGTATATCACAATCGCATTTAATGCGATAGATATCTAAGAGGTTGATTATGATTTTTTGGAGGGAATTTTTTATCCTTTCCTCCATTATTGCTTTCCATGTTGATATCTTATTATAGAGGGGATCTTCATGTCTTCAAGCACTAAATAGGTGATATAATTCTCTCATTTACTCTCCTTCATAAATGGAGGCGAAACTTCTTATATGTGTGGTTTCATTAGGAGAGGATGCTATTTTCATGAAGGTAAAATCATCAACGACCTTTCTTTAATTAAATTTTGATGCGTCAGAGAGAATGAAAGTCCCATATGACACTATCTTTAAAATATAAATCTAAAAGACAATGCAACCTCAGTTTTTTTTTAATTGAAAACAATGATGATTTGAAGTGCATTGTGGAGCATGCTCCTAATATGGGATGTACAGATATCAATCTTTATACTACTGCAGACAACAGAGGCGTGGCTGACAATTTGGGGGCCCAGTTCTAAATTTTAATCGGGTCCACTTAATCAATCTTCAGAAAAAACTAATAATTGTTTTTATAGTAGTACTAACAATGGAAAGAAAATTTTATATCTAGAATTAAAATAAACATTAAGACATAACAATGATTCTATGCAAAAACATATTACGTGCAAAATATTAATAGTAAAAAAAAAAGATTTAATTTGATAAATGTTAATCATAATCAAATTCAATCGACTGGACATTGATTTAATTTTATAGTACTAGGTTTAAAAAATAATTTAATACTACTCCCATCAACTAAAAAGCTATTTAGCCAAATTGTTTAAGTATTTTTTTGATAAAATTGAATTAACCACAAATAACAAGAGAACGAACTTACCACTAAGATCTGGAACAACACTAGTGGTAGCAAAAAATGCAAGAGAACTTACATATTTGCGGGGACTTATTTAAAAATATATCAGATTGTTGGAGGCTTTATGATTTTTGGGGGCCAAAATAAGAAAACCAGCATGATAGAGCAACACTTTGATAATAGGACAAGGATTCCCAGCTGTACACTTTGATAACAGGTTTGTTTAAATACAAACGAAAGTAACGTAATAAAAAAATTATTAATCAAATAACACATTAATATGACCATTTATATTCGGTGACATTACCCAATCAAATATGTGGTCATGATAAGCCCTCATAAAAACTACACCGACCCAAAACCAAATTAATCCCATCAAAATTCCTCATTTTCTCACTCCCTATCTTCCTCATATAAAATCCAAACTTCTCCTCAAACACCAAATTAACAATGAAGACCCTGAGAACTCTAATAGCCGGTGGCGGCGGGTCCCTCTACCTCCCCATCATCAACCTCGTCGTCGGCCTCGCCTGCCTCGACCTCAAGACAGCCAGAACCTTCTCCGCGTGGTTCCTCATATGATGCAAGTTTACATTTTAACCCCTGCATTTTTTGCACGATTTGGGGCCCCCAAAGTCGGGGGCCCTGTTCTGTGGAGCCGGATGAACCGCCTCAGCGGCGCCCCTGGCAGACAAAGAGACTTGTAGTACCCAAAACACAAAGAAAGAAGCCCAAAACCTACAGATTATCATTTCATTTGTGATAAAGCTATTTGGTCTGTATTACAAAAAAGTTAATTTTGAGAGATAAATATTTTTGTCACGTCATACATGCTATCTCTAAGATATTACTGCTAAAAAAATGTCAAAACTGTTAGTATTATGTTCTGGGTGTTGCTTTAAATTAAAAATGTTAAGTAGTTATCTTTGTTAAACTAAACTAATTTTTTATTAGTTATTTCATCTATTTTATTTTGTATGTGGGGTTAAATTTTTCCTACGTTGAATTATTAATCTTTAAAGCCAATATCCGCTAGTAAATCAACTTTAGAACAGATTCCTAATGATAACCCGCTTGGTGAACAAGCTATGACGATAGAGGTTATGATTAATGATACACTAAAAGATGTTAGATGTGGCACACTACCCTAATTGAATTTGGACAACAATTTGAAAGTGCAAAAGAGCCAAGATTAACATTGCAATACTTTTCAATCACAAAGAAGTTTGAGTATGAATTCAAAAGAATGAACCAAGATGTGTTCGAGTATATTGTCGATACAAGTACACTAATTGTTGTCCTTAGATGTTGTTTGTTTCTCCTGATAAGAATGTGTCGAAACTTATTATAAAGAAGTTGGTGGACAAGCATACATGTGGGCAGCATGGAAATAGTGCATGTTGTTCTCAAGCATCACGCAGATTCATCGCTTCACAATTACAATCAGTGTTGAAAGTTTGGCCAGATATCAACGCAATTAATATACAAAAAGAGGTACTCATGCAGTATAATCTAAGGATTAAATACAGTAAGATACTATGGAATAAATAGAGAGCTTGTAAAGAGATGTATGGTGATGCTCATGAGCCATACGATCAACTTAGATGGTAAATACATACATAGGTTACTGAGTTTATATATTTATCTATAAAAATTATCGATTGTTGCTAACTTTAACAGGTAGTTATTAATTTTAACAAATAAGTGCTAATTATTTGATTTAAGTGTGAAATTTGTATGTATGTAGTTTTATTATTTAACATATAATGATTTTGCGTAATCTTCGGTATTAAGACATGGTAAGAGTGAGAAGTCCTAGTAGCTATATTCTGTTGAACAAAAGAAAGGAAAGTTTTCACGGTTGTCCATATATTATAGAGCTTGCATTAATGGTTTCTTGGCTAGGTGTAGGCTCTTATTTTTTACGAGGATTGTGGTCTATTTTTTATGAAAGAAGTGATCCATACATTACCCTTCACCAGTTAGGCATAGACAAAGGCATTAGAAAAGCTTTTAGAAAATTTTTTCAAAGGTTGTAGAGAACTTCAAATCAAAGCTTAGAGATTTTAGATTGAAGTCAAGAATACACAAATTTTAGCAAACTTATTGTAATCAGCATGCTACAAGTACACCATAGCAAAATGGAAATATTATATGAAATTGAATTTATAGATCTAAGAGCACATGCACTTGTTATGAACTACTTGAAAGTACCCTAATGCCACTAGGAAAGAACCCTAGAGGGGGGTGAATAGGGTTTATGCTAATCTAATCCGATTTATATTAATTAAAAACTTATTAACAAATTATCCTAGAAAGAATGATATAACAAGAGATATATACAAGGATAAGTAATATAAACAAGGGTAAACAAAAATAGTGGACAATATAAACAAAGAGGCAATGGCTAAATAAGACGAACAAATATATAAGTGCGCCAATGCAAACTCAAACAAGCAATATGATCACGGAGTTCGGGCCCCACGACCTACGTCTCCGATCCTCACCTCGAGGAGATCTCTACTATCATAACCGGGTTTTCTGCGCTCACCCGAACAACGTTTACACCTTACACTTAATTTTCTAGCCCACCGAAAACTTTACAATCACTCACAATGTAAACACACTAACTCCACCTCAAGTGTTGGTCTCTAGCCCGTGTTTCCCTCAAGTGTTAGGAATTACAACATCTCTCTAGGTATTATCACCTACCCCACTCCTCTTGGGACGACCCCGTTGTTGACCCTATAGTTTTGATGATGATTTGTCAAACAATTTATCGCTAATATATTCTCTAGTTTTGTGTTTATGTTTCTCTTTACAGGTATTTCAACACTCAACAATCAAGCGTTAAAGATTCAAGTTCATATGTGTGGAATTACCTAGGTATAAGTTTAGTTTACTTACATATATTGTATGTTTATATT